AGAAAGGACCAGATCGAGCTTTTATGATACTGGATGACACCATAGACTTTTTACATAAATATTTGACTATTTATTTTATTTAAAAATTTAGTGTAAAATAATATCCGTTTTATTTAAAATTTAGTGTAAAACAATAAAAAAACAAGTCGTAGCAAAAATAAATAACAAACGTATTTTTTTAATAAACCATATGGTCAAATATCATGCTAAAAATAAACAATTAATATCATCTATTGAAAAACAGAGTGTATTTCTTTTCGAATAAGAAAAAACAGAGAAACTACACGTACCTGAGCTGCATGCGTGTAGATTTGGATGTGGACATATGTATGTCACAACGTGCATGGGACGCCCGGCGTTTCATCAGTAGCTACTCCAGTTTGGTACGGGAGTTGGTGTGTACATACGCATGTGCGTGCACGATCGACAGGTTTTGGGTCCTTGGCCCTAGCTACTTCTGATCATCTAGTTCTTGATCATTTTGGTTGTTGGTCATGTGGGAGCAGGAGCAGAGAGCATATCAGCAGCAGATCAGTATATATATAGCTTACTTAATCAGGCCGGGTTCGTGAGTTCTCCGGTTAGCTAGCTCTCGATCCCCTATCTGGCTATGCAATCAGTAATTAATTTAAGTACCGAAATGGGTGCAGCTACGCCATGTGTGTGTTTAGAGCGACGAGACTAGCAGGGGGGTTAGATCGTGATCCAAAACGTGCCTTGTTGACAGAGATATTATATATTGGCATGGCACTTTTGGCACATGGTGAACTTGTTGTGCATTAGTGTACATATATACTCCCTCCGTTTCGAAATGTTTCACGCCGTTTGACTTTTTTAAATATGTTTAACCGTTTGTCTTATTTAAAAAATTTAAGTAGTTATTAATTCTTTTCCTATCATTTAATTCATTGTTAAATATATTTTTATCTAGGTATATAATTTTACATATTTCACAAAAGTTTTTGAATAAGACGACCGGTCAAACATGTGCTAAAAAGTCAACGGCGTCAAACATTTCGAAACGGATGGAGTATCATTTAGTGGAAAACTCTTCATCCTATATAAGGGGATATCCCATCATTTTGTATGTCACTTAAATAAAAAAATTTGAAAAATTTTGATAGGATAGATCAATATGTGATATGTCACTTCACAAATATGCATATTCAAATTCAACTTATATAAGTAGAAAAAAATAATAGATTTGACAATGAATAGAATGTGTAATTCACGGTCAAATTTGTTTTTTTTTTCGAATTGTATAAGTCGAATTTTAACTTGTATATTTGCATATATTGATATATCTTGACAATTTTTTTTAAAAAAATTAATAACTTTTGAACGACATGCACAAAACGAAGGGATGTCTTATCGAGGGACGAAAATCCACTTCCTCGTATAGTAGCATTTGAAGTCTTCAATCCGTTGTTGGTGAATTAACATTCTGAGAGTATTGGACTATTGGCACATTGAATTAATCGTTCATCGTCGAGCTAGCTAGCTAGCCACACACAAAAGTCTTAGTGGAAACTACATAGGCGATTAATCGTGAATGCATTTGATGGCTGATAACGACACGAATTGAAGTTGATCATGGATGATACATCCCTTTTGTACACCGCAACACGTCAGGTTTTTGCTGGGAGAGATAGATCGAGAGAATAATGATACTAGTAATGTATAGAAACGAGTGACAGGCCGGCGCAGACGGGCAGTACCAACCGTTTGCTCCCAATGTATGGGATCAGTTCCGGTATAAAAAAGGACTAGCGGACGTGACGGACTTGCTTGCCGGCGCGGGAGCACGGGCACAGTAACAATAGCTGGAGGAGGGCGCGAGGGAGGAGAAGGACGGCGAAGCTGCGGCGGCGACGGCGCGCGTGGAATGAAGAGAAGAGGGCATGGCGGCGCGCGTGTGGGAGGAAGCGGCGACAGCGGTGCGCACGTAGGAGGGAGCAGCGACGGCGGCACGGCAAGATGACTGGAGTAGGTTGCGGCGGCGACGATGCATGGGAGTGAAGGAGGAGGGCGAGGCTGCGACGCGATTGGAGGAGGGCGAGGCGGCGCGCGTGGGGGAGGAGGGCGAGGCGGATAGGGTTTGTACGGGCTGGCGAAATCCACACCGTCCGTTAGAGATCCGACGATCCCACAGGTGCGGAAGGTCTGGCACAGCGAGGAACGTGGACGGCCAGATCAACCCTACGGTGAGATCGGACGGTGGACATTAACGGGGACCGGCGCGTAATTAACCGAAAGTGCAAGGGTTTTTTTTACAAAATCGGCTGACGTGGCGGCCCTAACCTTCTAAAGATCCCACGGACTTTAAGTAAACCAATATTACAAACAATGTAGTACTAACTCACCATCCATCCTCTTATTTTTATTACTCCATATAGAAAGTATAACAGAGACAATGTATAGGGGCTCCTTCTTTCAGCTATATTACTTGATTATTAATTACCGTCAACTATTTGAGTTTATTTCTAAAATATTTTATTTATCCCTATATTGAATACAGTAAGTATACTTACAATCCACTGCCTGAATTGATTAGGTCAGAGAAACTACAGTGCAGGCCAGATAGCAGGAACAATATGCGTAGGAGGAGCTACTTCTTTTATCCCATAAAAATTCAATCTAATATTGATTATTGATACATCGTAGTATTATAAATCTAATCAGTAGCAGCCTACAGCCTAGCACCGCACGGGGCCATGGCCGGCCTGAAGCTTCCAAAAGTCCACTTCGACGACCTCATCATTGCCCACATTTTGCCAGCTCACTCCCCTCTTTCCGTGCCCACTCACACATGCATTCCTGATCTCTCTCACTCACTCTCTCGTGCAGATAAACAGATATTCTAGACGGCCACAGGGAGCTCCTGTCCGGGCCAAAACAGCGAGTTCACTCCCAGATGATAATAGTATTTTTAATTGGAGTACTACCTTCTTGCAGCTGAGCTGCAGGTAAGGGTTAGTTGTATCTTGTGCAGGTAGTGTGGCACGGGCGTTGATTGGGCCCGGACTCTCGGACCTTATCGGCACTGGTAGATTTTCTTCTTCTTCCATTGGTAGGTAACAATGATGTAGCCTGGGTGCATGCTGAATCTAGCTAGGAAAGCCTGCATCGCTGCAAAAGGAGAAAAAAAATGGAAGCAAAAAAATGCTACGATTTTCTATTGGATATTATTCTAGACTAAAATTAAAGCTTGGTGATTTAGATTCTGCCAGTTAATTGCACCCTGGATGGTTAAGAGCATTCACAATACGGTGCGGTGACGAGTGGCATCGATCATCGCCGCACATCGGAGGCACCACGTCATGTTCGAGTGGCCTCGCAAGACTCCTTGTGCTCTGCAGAGGTCATGGTTGCTTTTGCTTCATCTGGACGAGGTCACTCAGGGGTTTACATGTACGTTGAATAAGCTATTGTCCTGTGTGTTATCTGGCAATGCGGATAAACAACAGGGGGAGTAAGGCCTACCAGACAACGACCTTAGCACATCTACCATTGTTTGAGCTTCTCCGTGCCGACACCGAGCAAATCTACCGCCGACGAGCTCATTTGTGCCATGTCATCAAGCTCCTCCGCATGCGGCGTCAAGCTCCATGTCCCATAATCCGCACTAGCATACGGTAGATGGAAAGAGGTCGCGAGCGGTGGCGACATCCCTGTCCTCCGTCTGCGCCGGCAGGAAGGAAGTTACTTAGCTACATAAGAGGATGGGTAGTGGAGCGAGGAGAAGAGAGGACAGATTGGGAATATTTCATATCAATTTTCCAGTAGTCGTTTAGTGTAGAATGTTAGACTCCAGTGAAAATTGAGAAAAATATGAGGACTAAAATAGGAAATAATGTTAGAGCCCGATTCCAAATATTGAAGCTATTTGAAGCACCTTGCATTATGCATGGAGAAGAACATCTTTTTTTTAACAGATATTGCCTCAGTGAGTCGGTGTAGCAATGCCCTCATCGAAGAATCGAAGCAACTAGTGTCCAACAAGCCACTAGTTCAACCGATACATCGCCATCAGAATAAGATTAGTCATCAGTTATAGCCACTTAGGGAGAAAAGGTGAATGTTCGGGCTTCTGGCTCAGTCACAAGACAAGCAATTTTATCGTTCTTGATGAGGTATCATTTTTCTATTATAAATTTGATACCTCTTGTTATCTAGATACTATGGCTCTGTTTAGATGGGACTAAAACTTTTAAGTCCCTATCACATCGGATGTTTGGATATTAATTATAAATATTAAACATAGACTATTAATAAAACTCATCTATAATCTTGGACTAATTCGCGAGACGAATCTATTGAGCCTAATTAATCCATGATTAGCCTATGTGATGCTACAGTAAACATTCTCTAATTATGGATTAATTAGGCTTAAAAAATTTGTCTCGCGAATTAACTTTTATTTATGTAATTAGTTTTGTAAGTAGTCTATATTTAATACTCTAAATTAGTGTCTAAAGACAGGGACTAAAGTTAAGTCTCTGGATCCAAACACCACCTATAAGGTACTAAATTTTTTTTTCCTCGTGATATCTCTTAAGCACCGTAAAACATGAAACGACGTGTGTCTCGCGGTTGATTCATTACGAATGTACAATTTCCTATTCTGATATCAATGATTTCTCTTTCCCTCCAAAAAATAAAACAAGAAGTTTAACCGAGACTTCCGATCCGGCCGACCAGACGGCTCGATCAAGCGGTGTCGTTTGACCACGATCCAACGCGCCCGCAACCCCACCCGGCCCCAGAATTGGCTGGACTCAACTTAGCCCGGATCACTCACTGACTCACTGTTCATCTCAGCTCGGCTCGGCTCGGCTCCCCGGAGTGGCGCGCAGATGGCCAGCAATAATTGCGCTACTAGCTCCGCGCCCACAGACCCGATGATGCAATTGCAATTCGACTGGAGATCGTTGCGATTGCGCGGCAAAATCTCACTCCCATTCTCCCCAATTAATCCCAAGCAATCATGATCCAAGACAGGAAGAAAATTCAATGTGTTTCGAATCACATATACATGCTGTTTTTTTTGTATATATATAGTGTCACCGGAAAATTCTTCGTCATGATACCACCCACTTTTTTCTTTTTTGGCTGTGTGACTGACCATGCATTGGATTGATGAACTGACTTGAGTGATGACATACGTACTGAACACACTCGATCACCCATGGTGTTTCTTCTTTTTTGTTTTTGTAGATATACTCTCGAAATGAAAAAAGGAACATGAAGAAAAAAGAAAGAAGAGGAAGAATGAACAGAAGAAATCAAAGAAACAATGGCGAGCGCTGCTGATCGATCAGGTGCTAGTGCGACCGATCGAATGAGCTCACGAGATGAATGGACAAAGAAAAGGTGAAGTGTGTAGTGTAGTGTAGTGTAGAGTAGTGTACCCATCGGAGGAGGAGGAGAGGGAGAGCGAGAGCGAGCTAGAAGAGCTCCCAATCGAACCGCGGGATCGGCGAGGTGGTGGTGGTGGTCGTCGCGGCGGCCATGGTGGTCGTCACGGTGGACGACGACGTGGACGGCATCGAGGACAGCAGGTCGAACGACTCCCAGCTCGCCGTGGGCGGCGGCGCCGGCGCGGCGGCGGTCTTCGTTGTCGTTGGCGCGGCGGGCGGCGGCGCCTGGAACTGCCGCCGCTGCGACACCGGCGGCGGGAGGTGCGGCGCCCGGGGCTTGGCGTGGCCGTTGCCGCTGGCCTTGTTGTGCGACGCCGCGTTCTTGGCGCGGATGGCGTCCAGCGACTCCACGTACTTCTGCACCCGCTTCTCCTGCGACGTGACGTTCGTCGGAAATTGAGCTCGCCGGAAATCAATCGGGCAAGAAACGGCGACGAGAATCGGTTTGGAGTTCGTGTGCTAACCTGCATTCGCCTCTGCACCTTGACCTCGCCCTCGGCGGCGATGGCGTCCAGCTTGACCAGCTCGTTCATCAGCGCCTCCGTGAGCGTGACCACGTCGGCGTCGACCACCCTCCCGCCCTTGCCGACGATGGCCTCCAGAGCCGTCACCTGCAAGACCACCGCCCAATTCAGCTAATTCGGAACCAAATTGAAGCCGCGCCGCCGCAAATTGTGGTGATTGATTACCTTGGTGGCGAGCTTGTCGACGTCGAGGCTGATGCGGGAGATGGACTTGGCGGCGCGCTCGGCCTTGTCGGTGCGGCGTTGCTCGAGGAGGCGCTTGGCCTGCGCCGTTGGGTCCTCGAGGAGCACCATCTTGGAGCGGTCCTTGACGCCGGCCATGTCGAGGAACGCCTTGGAGTCCCTCTCCTTGTCCTTGTAAACGATCTTCTGGTCCTCCGGGTGCAGCCCCGTCGGCGCCGACAGCTGCTTCTTCAGCTCACCTGCACCACCAACCACCACCATCAGCACCTGCTCGACCGAATCACACCCCTCCCCCAAAAAAAAAAAAAAACCAGACGCCGCGCTCGCACGCCGCCGGCGGCGAGGCGAGGCGCGTGCATTACCGAAGGACGCCTGCGAGTTGATGTAGATCTCGTGGTAGACGCCGTTGAACTTGACCTTGACGCGGATGGTGGGCACGGGCGCGGCCGGGGCGTCGCCGTCCGGGCTCCTCTTCTGCACCAGCATCCCACCTGGCCGCACCTCCCACTCATCCTCCCTCGCCGCCGCCGCCGCAGCAGCAGGCGGCGGAGGAGCAGAGCTCTCCTTCATCGCCGCCGCCGCCGGTGGGAATGTACCTTTCGCCTTGGCGCGCATCATCTTCTCATGGCACGCACACGCACACGCAACCAATTTACCAAACCAAAACCAAAGCCAACCGCTCCCGCAGCTAAAGCTCGCAAGCTACCACTGCCTCGCCCTGCAAGGCAAGAACCACCAGCTAGCTCGAGCAAGCAACACTCAGCTGCAGGTGACGGCGAATTGGGGAAGGGAGTGGCGGATCTGGGACGAGAATCGAGGCGCAGCAGCGAGCGTGTGCGTGTGTGCAGGTGCTCGACGCTGGCCTCAATTGGGGAAATCAGGATCAGGCGGCAGGGAGGTAGGTGGGGAGAGGTTAGGAAGGAAGGAGGAGAGATGGAGAAGAAAGAGAGAGAAAAAAAAAATAGAGCGGGTACAACTCAGGGACAGGCAGGAAGCGGCAGCAGCAGCAGCAGCCGCGGAATATTTATGCGCCAAAAAAAACCCAAAGCCGCGTGCGTGCGTGCGCGCGCGTGACCATGCAACGCAAACCCAACGCGGACGCAATGCAATTAACCAAATGCTCCGTTTCGCGGCGGCGGCGGCGGCCGCGGGGTGGCGAGAGCTCCGGCGAGGGAGGGAGGCTTGGTTGGGGAGTTGGTTAGGAAGGAAGCAACCGTCGTGTCGTCTCGTCTCGGCCAAACTTGCCACTTCCACCATCGCTCACCTCCGCCGGCCTCACCGGCCGCTTGCCTTTATCGTGGCGCGCTTCTTCTCTCTCTTTCCTTCACGCACGCTGCAAGCCGGCAAACACACCGAGCCAAAGACATCAAAGACGCGCCCTTTTTCTATTTATTTTTTCTTTCACAAGTTGCCGTCCTGAAAGAATAATAATACTCCCTCCATTTCAGATTACAGGTCATTTTAAAAAGTCAAAATGTTTTAAGTTTAATCAAGTCTATTATATACTATAAGTCCTTTAAATTTCCTACAAACGTTCTTAAGCCGCCACATGGTATCCCTACAAACACCCTCAGACTGCCAAGTGGCATTTAAAACATCTAGCCATTGATTTTCATTTAATCTGGTGGAGCCATATTTTTAACCGTTAGATCTAAAAATACCAAATAGATTTAATTTATCTTTAGAAATTAGAAAGCCACACGCCCACGTCACCCGTACGTGTACGATCATGTACATACATACTTCGTACGTGACCACCTTCTTTTCTTTTGTTTTTTCTTTTTTTTCACTCTCATGAGATAAAAACCAAATTAATATTTAGCTAATAGTTGTAAAATATATGTTATTTCGAGTTGTTTCGAAGATGTCTGATGCTCTAATTAGAGAATCTAAGAAAAACTATAAAATAAAATAAAAATAACTATTCATCGATTTATACTCACAATCGGTGATCTCTTATTTTTCAACCATTAAATTAGATCTATGACAATAATCCCTCTATCTAAAAATCATCTAATTCCTCCTTACATACATACACAACTCCTATGTATATGATTTGTCCCATATGGTAGTTTTCTCTTTCTTTCCAGCTCTAAAGTTTTTTTCTAAATTGAGTATATACGTAGTGACGACTCCTTGCGAGGAGGTAAAAGAAGCCACGCCACGGCGCCGTCTCATGCCACCCGTTGCTCCACTCTCTTCACGTCAAATTTTTAAATATACTTTTTTACAAACAAATTAAAAGGCAATCACATGAGCTCATATATATGCGTGCAGACGCACACTATGAATACAAATACGCATACCCTATTCCTATGATAGACAAATATTCATCCGAAAAGAAAAAAAAGAAAAAAAACAAACATCCATACGAGAGACTACTATTCGCTAGTAAAAAAACATACTTGTAACTACATTATTTATCTTTTTGTGTCGTCCCCATCCAAATAGTGTTAACAAATAGCACATATAATTTTAACAAACTTCATCGAATATTAATCCCCATGAACATGCATAGGTGAATTAGATGTATAATAGAAAAAAAAATAAAAACCTATATTAACTTGTATATTAGCAAAGGATCACAGTTTGAGCAAATATTTTTTTCCATGGTCCTCACCACTGAAGCTATTATATTTTTCGAAGTAGAGTCCAATGATCAACCCTGCTAATTTTTAAAAGAGAAAATTATATATGTACCACTAAAATGTAGTAGTATTGATTAACACCACAAACAAATTATGTATACTCTATACAATAAATCAACTGAAGACATAAAAAAAACTATTTTCATCACCTCCATTTTCTCCATACCCTGAACGGTTCCAAGTATGGATCTCAAGTGGATACATTGTAGTAACTATCGCAGGAGTATGTATTATTGAGCTGATGTCGTCTTACCCAAACCAATGGACCTTATTTTAAACTATTAGATCTATATATTAAAAAAACCTACTGATCGATCAGGCCAGTGCGTATGTACAACACATGTATCCAGTTCCCTCCTTATGGACAAGACGAACTCACTGGCTCTCAACTCTTTATTTTCCTTACAACAATTAAGTTAACAACTGAATAGAAGAAGATCCTAAAAATTACCCCGAAAAGAATATTCACCTTAATTTTTTAATAAAATTAGTGGACTAATTACTTCATAACATAAGACATCTAATGACTTTCTACCAACTTAATTATATTTCTCAACTTGTATACGGGGTCTATTTACCTATACAAATATAGCTAAATCAATCTACAACGGTACAAATAAATCTGTCTATGATTGAAGCTTTTTTTTTATTACTATATATCTCCGTCCTATAATGGATGCTAAAATTTTATAGGAATTAAGGAGGAATGAAAAAAAAAACTAAGATACCCATCATTAAATAAGGGGTATGCAGAGAGTTAGAAGATGGTTAGAGTAATGTTGGATAAAATTTAAATAAAGAATGACTGGATGGAACGAGTAGTATTAAAAAATTCCTTATATTTTAGGATAAAATTTGAATCCTTCGATTTATGGATGGAGGTAGTAGAAGTAAATAGAAGTAGGTGAGTATGTCTTTAATTAGATAAAGAAGTCATATTATCATATTTTCTAATATAAAATTTCTTAAATCAATATATCCTAAAATCTACAAAGACATCTTTAGTATACAAGCAAAAAATATTACTTAAAAGTTTAAATTAAGATGCTAAATATTTTTTTTAAAAAATAAACACATGTAGTATAAAAATGATAGTTTCATATGAACAAGCTCCATTGTTGCGACATATTTTTCTCATAAATTTAAGACACCATGATGCAAGTAATTTTAGTTTACAATATGTAACAACCCATCCTTCAAAATAAGGCAACCCAGCCTCCATTCAACTGGCATGCTCACTTATAAATATCACCTCACTTACACTATCATTCTCGCTTCGGGTAAATTTGTTAACCCAAAAATGATATGGTTGGAGAGGCAATGTCTTACAAGTTAGCTACACTCTTGCTATAACTAGCAAGATGGTACTACTCAAGTACAACACAGGTTACATCCTTCGAATAAAACATATAGACCACATCCTAATTGCACTAGGGATGTCATAGACACCCCCTTAAAGGATCCGACGTCCCAGTCGGTCCAACTAGCCTGCATAGTCACATATGCATATAGACAAATGTCCAGGAACATGTCACCCCTTAACGCACATCCGTACGTCGAGTGATCGAAACCAACTTTCAAAACAATCCCAGAAAAATTATTGATAAACATAGATTTAGAAGAGTAAAATATACATTTTCTTGAAAAAAAAATCCTATAAACAAACATTCGTCACAAAATTTCAAACACCACTAAATAAGGTGCCCGCGCATCTGCGCAGGCTGCCTTCCTAGTTTGTAGAAAAAGTAGTAACATTTCCAATCCAAGATAAATATATTGTAAAAATATATTCAATTATTGATTTAATTTAATTAATTTGACATTGTAAATATTATTCTATTTGTTTACAAACTTAATTAAATTTGGAGTAGTTTAACTTTAACCAAACTTAAAATGACTTGTAATATTAAATAGAGCGGGTAGTAACAGTTGCTCGCAGGAGAAGGAAAAGCTTTGAAAAATGAAATTATAGGTGTATTTTTAGTTGAGTGAAATACATGGCCAGTCCCTAAACTTGTGTGGTGGTATCACTTAAGTCCATGAACTTGAAAATTGCATGTTTAGACCCGTGAACTTGGTTTAATGTACCACCCCGGTCCAAACGTCCTTTGACTGTGTTTGACCGCTAACGTGGCATACCATGTAGACAACACTTTTGCTCTCAGCCCCCTCGACATCACAATACGTCGCATATATCTCCTTGTAGCTATATAGTAACACCTAGGGGTGGGCATATTTAGACCGAACCGAAGAACCGAACCGAAAAGATCGAGACCAAGACCGAAAAGACCGAGACCGAGAAATTCGGTTATCTATTCGGTCCCAGCCCTCAAAACACCGAATTTATTTCGGTCATTTCGGTTATTGGGTTCGGTTAACCGAATTAACCGAAATTTTGGCCCAATAGACCTAGGAAGCCCAATAAGCCCACTAAAACAAACCCTAGATGTGATACTAACCCTACTACCAGTGCAGCCTCCTCCTCCAGCCCCCACCACGCCGCCGCCTCCTCCTCCAGCCCCCACCGCGCCGCCGCCGCCAGCTCTGCCCTCCACCGCGCCGCGGCCCGCCTCCGCCCTCCACTGTGCGGCCGCCGCCGCCGTCCTCCACCGCGCGACCGCCGCCGCCGTCCTCCACCGCGCCGCGGCCGATGCCGCCGTCCTCGACCGCGTGGCGGCCGGTGCCGTCCTCCACTGCGCCGCGGCCGACGTCGCCGTCCTCCACCGCGCGGTGGCCGGCGCCATCCTCCATCACGCCGCGGCCAACGCCGCCGTCCTCCACCGCGCCGCGGCCGCCGCCGCCGTCCTCCACCGCGCCGCGGCCGCCGCCGCCGCCCTCCACCGCGCGTTCCAAATTTTTTCGTTCCAAACTCTCCTCAAAAATTTCGGTCAGACCGAGACCGAGACCGAGACCGCAAAACCGAGACCGAATTTGCCGGTCCTGAGTTTTTTTGGATGAAATTCGGTCCTGAGTTTGCGAAGACCGAACTGACCGAAAACCGAAGACCGAGACCGAATTTTTTGGTCTGACCGAACGCCCACCCCTAGTGACACCAAAATCCCCCCCCCAAAAGAATCCTCAATTCGTTCTTCCCTCTCATTCTTCTCCCTGCATGTATAGAAAATGTGGTCCCGATTAGAAATTGCCATTGTTCTACGCTCTAAAATGGCCTAAGAAAACGAGGACAAGCTTGGAGAATCCAAGGAGATGCCTAGTGTGCAAGCCGCATTGCGCTGCCTCCCGTCGCTAATTCGGCCGCGCTGTGCAACCGCTAACCCCGCTGCACTGCACTGTGCTGTCTCCTGCCTCCTTCCACTAACCTCACCGTCAAAACCCTAGCCGATTTAGGGATATTTTGGGGGATTTGGGTTGAAATGCACTGATCAGGGCAAGTTATGTGCGAAGGTATATATAGAGGGGGCTGAGTACAAAAGTGTTGCCTACGTGGCATGCCACATTGGCTGTCAAATATGGTCAAAGGATAATTGGTCTGGGGATGGTACATTAAACCAAATTCACGGATCTAAACGTGTAATTTTTAAATTCACGGACCTAAATGACACCACCCATAAGTTTAAGAACCGGCCATGTATTTCACTCTTTTTAGTTTTAGGGTGGATGATTGGCGC